AACCTTGGATATGACTCATCCAGTCCCTAAAGTATTTTATTCTCTTATAAGGTGTTTTCTTACGACCTCCATTGACGTAATACTGCTCTCTGGTAGCATTTGGTACGGCATTGCGAATGTTCTTACCACACTCGTAACACTGTGCCGACGTGTCATCTTCTATTTGCATTTTTTTACCACAACAAATATACTTATTTGGTGGTTGGGGCACAAACTTGGGTCTCAAGCACTTTACACAGAAGTCATAAACAAACTCTTTACATTCATCATATATAGAACGAATATTTTGACTTTTTAGTAATACAGAGCACGGGTAACCCCCGCCAGCCTTCCTTTGAATTTCGCACTTCACAATAATAGGTTAGCATATTTAATGGCATTCGTTGGTGGCTGTATTCACGGTCTCAAATGGGTCGTGGATGGCGGGAAGATCCCGTAATCTCTTGGTGGAATAACCCCGGGCCACGTTGCTCTCAAAACCCGAATGAAACCGGGGCGTATGCTTTTAAGGCGGGTCATTTCGGGGTGGCGTGTGAGTTGGGACCCCCAACCCCTATACTACTATGGTCCTTTACTTGAAACCAAAATATCACAATGAGGAGTTGGTATAAATGCTGTACACATGCCTTCTTGAGATTTGCCAAGGACAGGTCTTCAAAAGGAAATTCGACAAATTCTCTGGGTCGAATAGGCTTGTACGTCTACAGTGCTTGTTATCAGCCTCAGAAGCTAATCTCTGAACGATGATCCCATGCGGCGCAGACCCTTTCTTGCTATTCTTTCGGTCGTTCCGGTTCCATTTTTTGCCCATTTCATCTTTAAGCTTATCCCAAGCTGCCTGACGCTTCATTTTAAAAACTTATTGAAACCGCAAGTAAGAAAGCAAGATGCCGAATGGTTAGTCGGCAATAAATCAAAGCTAATATAATGTGTGAACATGGTCGTATATCGTATTACAGTGGCCACAGAAGACGAAGATGAAGTTGATCGTTGAAGGGAAAGCAAATACTATAACTATCCAGTTGGCGTATGATACATTTTCAAAGTACTCTGGAGAGTGTAGCACCCTGGTCCTTTCAAACTGGGCGTCAAACTTCCAATATCGCTCAGAAATGTTGATGGATCAAGATCAAGAAGAATACGATCCCTTGGACGAAATTTTTTTTTGTGAGTGGCATCGAAGTTAACAACATGGTGTATCTGGAGAGCCACGAATGGTTCCTTCTCATTTTGTGAGAAAGGGCAGCTTCCCAAAGAGCCATCGATTATACATGGTCCAGATGTAATCAACGGTCACGAAGATTAAAACCTCTTTCTTGGTGTTGTGACTAATGTGCACAAGAAACCGTCCCTTAACTATCACTGGTTTTATGACGGATACCATTGTGCAGTGGTATTCATCGTTGCGTAATCAAAGTATCTGAGCCAGGAAGTTACTATTGTAAAGTGAACTACAGAGAAAAGGAGCTGCAAATCATCAAAGGTTTATGTATTGTTAGTATCTTGTGCGTATTTAACTGATCATGAAGTGTGTTCTTTAACTCGACATAGGGATCATTCTAGTATGAATCTGTCAAATCAAAAGGACATGTTCTGATACAATTATCTTTATTATGTTCTATGATATTTCAGTGATTCTCAATCAAGCACCATGAAGAAGACAACAAAAAATTCTGAAGCTGCTTATCCACACTCGGTTTCACTAGCAACATTGTTGAATGGGCAAAATCGAAATACCAAAGAAATCATAAAATCCCT